GATCCTGAAGAGGAAACTCAAGTACTTTGGGCACCTAATGAGAAGGAAGGACTCACTGGAGAAGAGCCTAATGCTGGGAAGGATTGAGGGCAAAAGAAGAAGGGGACAACAGAGAATGAGGTGGCTGGATGGAGTCACTGAAGCAGTCGGCATGAGCTTAAATGGACTCCAGAGGATGGAAGCGGACAGGAAGGCCTGGAGAAACATTGTCCAGGGAGTCACGATGGGACACGACTTCGCAACTAACAACAACCCTCAAAAAAACAAATCCTTACAACCCAAGAGATGCTGAAAGAGATACTCACTGTGGGTGTAGCTTGTATAAGGTACCATCCACTCCGATGGTAGTTTTGAGGTGTTCAAGTTTCCTGTTGTCACGTATCTTCTCAACAACAGCTGCCAATCCGGCTCCGCAGAGCTGGGCAGCTCTTTTGGAAACACAGCCACACACTTCTTTCACAATGATGCTGTCATCACAAGTCCCATCCAGCCCGAGTTGTTGCAGAATTCTTCTCACTTGAAGCAGGGCGAGGCGATCGCTGTCTCAGCCAAAATGGAACAGACACCTTTGATTACTCAATGGTGCTTCTTAGAAAGAACTGGGAAGCTGCATTTCTGGTTTTTAAGAAATATCTTGCTGATATGTTGGTTCTTTGGCATTATAATCCCCCCCCCACTTATGACTATGGTTCCTTTTTAAACAGGATTTAGAATGATTAATCATGTGCCATCAAGTCATTTTTGATACCTAGCAATCGCATAGACAAATGTTCTCCATGAGTTAAGAATGAACTTTGCTTGAATACTACATGCTACTCTTAATATCACAACACCCTGAAATACAACCCAAAATAATTTTTGAAATGTATAAGGTGACATTGCCATCACCAGCAGAAAAAATACATCTCCTTATCCAGATATTCCTGAACTGGGGCTCAGAGGAGTCAAGGGGGGAATGGTGATGATGAACGATGATGAAGATGACCAAGAATTGAAAATTAGCAAAACCTGGAGGGCTAATTTAAACTCCTTTGCAGAACAGTCTCTGTGTCTCGCTCTGTGTCTCTGTGTTTCTCTCTGTCTCTGTCTGTCTGTCTCTTTCTCTCTGTTTCTCTATGTCTCTGTCTATGTGTGTGTGTATGTGTGTCTCTCCCCTCCCTGTCTCTTTCTTTCTCTCTCTCTTTCTCTCTCTCTCTCTCTCTCTCCCTGTCTGCCTCTCTCAATATATTACATAGATGATAGATAGATTAGGGAGAGAGGGAGGGAGAGAGAGAGACCAAAGAAAGCTATATGGAAATGCTCATGTATTCATCAGAAACCACAGTATTCTTCCTACGACTAAGAAAATGACTTGTCCAAAGTCATCTCATAGACATCTATATTTAAGGTAGAACTAGAATTCATATTTTCCTGTTCCTACCCCAACAGATTAATCACTAGACCTGTAGGAGAAGGACAGGCAAAGCCTGGGGTGGAGTCAAGAGAGGAATCAGCCTGGAGTTGTTACATTCCCACAAAAGGTCTAAGTCCATCTCAGTAGTGAAATTCAATTTTTTTTACTACCGGTTCTGTGAGCGTCGCTTGGTGGGCGTAGCAGGGGAAGGATACTGCAAAATCCCCATTCCCTCTCCACTCCTGAGGGAAGGATATTGCAAAATCTCCATTCCCATCCCACTCTGGGGCCAGCCAGAAGTGGCATTTACCAGTTCTCCGAACAACTCAAAATTTCCACTACCAGTTCTCCAGGACCTGTCAGAACCTGCTGAATTTCACTCCATCCCCTCTTTAATTCCATTAATGCTTATCTAATGCCAATTTAGTGCTGACCATTCGTTGACTAGACTCTTGTGTATAGATATGAGCAAGAATCAGTTTAACTGGAACTTAATGTGTCATCTTGATTCTCCGTGTCTGAGAAGACCAAACTGGCTTCCACAACTGAATCTTTTACCTTTTATATAAGAAAAACATATAAATAAATCATGAATCCTATTCAGCTGTTTATTGTCTCATATGAGATTGAGAACTAGAAGACAGGAGATGGAGAGAAAATGCTGTTTTTATGACACGACTCATACCTTTCAATCTGAGACAAGTATTTTGTTTCAAATATTCCCCTTCTTCTCAGTGATTCTGAAATCTGGCCTCTGAACAGAAGTCCTCTCTTGGTAAGGTCTATCAAGATCTGTCTCACTATTTCACCCAAATACATCCCACTGGTCATTTTCTCATATCTATTAAACACCAAGGGGAAAAAATAACATTTGGATTTGAACAACACCAAGCAGGTAGTCCTTGATTTACAATCATTTGTTTAGTGACCATTCAATAGCAATAGCAATAGAGCCGAGGTGGCGCAGTGGTTAAATGCAGCACTGCAGGCTACTTCAGCTGACTGCAGTTCTGCAGTTCGGCTGTTCAAATCTCACCGGCTCAGGGTTGACTCAGCCTTCCATCCTTCCAAGGTGGGTAAAATGAGGACCCGGATTGTTGTTGGGGGGCAATATGCTGACTGTAAACTGCTTAGAGAGGGCTGAAAGCCCTATGAAGCGGTATATAAGTCTAACTGCTATTGCTATTATTGCTATGCATAAATGGGCCTTCATATAGCAGAAGTTTCCCAAATCTTATTTTCTCAGGTATAGAATTGAAAACATTTCAGAATAACCAAAGGGTTCTTCTCAAACAAGGAACTGGTCAAGGAGATTTAATCTTACCTATTGCTACACTTAATATTTTAACAATAGTACTTTAATATTGCTAATGTTACTTAATGCACAAGTAGTCCTTGATTTACAATCATTTGTTTAGTGACCATTCAAAGTTACAACAGCTTGGAAAAATGTGACTTATGACCAGTTGTCACACATACAATTGCCACAGCATTCCCATGGCCATGTGCAGGGGGTGGACTTCAAAAATTTCAGCAATGGGTTCTCTGATCGGTTGTTGAGTGGGTGTGGCCATTGTGGGCGTGGCCTAGTTGGCTTCCTGCACCACCGGTGGGGGGAGGGTGTTTTTGCCTTCCCCAGGCTCCGGAGCCTTTCCTCGAGCCTCTGGGGGGGTGAAAACTGCCTCCTCCAGGTTCTGGAGGCCTTCCGTGAGTCCCGTTTTCCCCCCTCCCCGAGCCTCCATGCGGGCCCTGCACTTACTTCACATTCAAAATGGGCCACGTGGAGACTCCTAGGAGGGGTAAAGGGGGGGGGGCATGGGCACGACTTGGTGGCCAGCCAGGGGTGGGATTTGGAGGTTCTCCGAACCAGTCATAATGTTAGCTACGGGTTCTCCCAAACCCGGCTGAACCCTTAGCAGCCCACCCCTGCCATGTGATCAAAATTCAGATGCTTGGCCACCTGTGTGTACTATATTCAAATGTATTGATAACATTTGCACCATCCCAGGGTCATGTGATTGCCATTGTCATCCTTCCCAGCTAGCTTCTGACAATCAGAGTCAATGGAGGAAGCCAGATTCACTTAACAACCCAGTGATTCATGCACTAACACTGTGATTCGCTCCATGATCATGGCAAGGAAAGATTGCAAAGCAGGCATGACTCACTTAACAACCACCTAACCACTTAGCAATGGAAATTCTCATCCCATTTGTGATCATAAGTCAAGGAACGCCTGCATTATCGTTAGAAAATAAGGAATTATTATGAAAAGCTTTAATGCAGTAAGATTCATTACTCTCTGGGTCTCCAACCTGTTGACTTCAACTCCCAGAATTCCCAATATTGCTGGCTGAGGAATTCTGGGAGTTGAAGTCCACAGGTCTTAACGTTGCCATGGTTGGAGACCCCTGCATCTCACAGATTACTGTACTCAGAGATTCTGTACTATTTTATTCTAACATGAATTTTTGGAGAATTTTTTAAAATTATGTTTCAAAATGCAACGTACACAGTCCACATTATCAATGAGAGGATAGTAATTTACGTAAATATTTTAATTACAGTATGTTTGTTCCCAAGATGGCAAATTGGCAATAAGGTGGATCCCTAACCCCCCCAATGCCATTGATGTGATATTCATTTTAAGGATATTAACTCCCAACATATGTTTAGTCTTCCTGTTTTTTTCTTTAGTATGTCTTTGAATAAAAAACAAAAATGTGTTTTCTTCTTCCTTTCCAATAACTTGAAACTCATTTGTGTTCTAACTCCAGACTTTCAACTGGGGAAGACAGATTATTTCTAAGATTTACCATTGCCTGTTCTACAGCAGAGGCTACTGAATTCCAGACAGTGGTGAAATTCAAAAAATTTTTTAACACTGGTTCTATGGTTGTGGCTTGGTGGTGGGGTCCTGTGACTGAGTGAGCATGGCCAACTCGATGTCACTCATGGCTATACCCACTCAGTCACATGCCACCACCACCACCAAGCCACGCCCACAGCACCCGGTAGGAAAAAATGTGTGCATGAGTCCATTCACAGCGGAGCTGCTGCTCCCTTTATGGTCCCCCCTGACCCCCTCCTTTCCAGGGGTCGAAGTACCTTAAAGGGACAGGCTGCAGCAGCTCTGCTGTGAACAGAGGGAGAAATGATTGGATTGTCTCTACTGCATTTAACATTGAATTCTGTGGCAGAGACAATCCGAACATTTTTCCCTCCGTTCCCAGCAGAGCTGCTGTTCCCTTTATGGTCCCCCTTGACCTCCACCCTCCCTGGGTCTATCTTAAAGAGACAGGCTGCAGCAGCCCTGCTAGGAACGGAGGGAGAAATGTTCGGATTGGGTGTGTGGGTAGAGCAGCCAGAAGAGGTAAGCGGGGACAGGGCAACCAGGCGGGCATGGGCGGGGCCACCAAGGATTTTTGCCACCGGTTTGGAGAACTGATGCCAATTGTCCCTGCTGGTTCAGCCAAACCAGGTTGAACCAGGAGGATTTCACCCCTGGTTCCAGAGAAACCCCATAATCTTGGCTGAAATTTTTGGAGAAGTGCCACAACATCTACCCTTACTTTTGCTTCCCAGGATTCAGAGACACTGAGTCCACCTCTTGATCATATCTTGTCCTGAAATTATCAATGCAGCCATTGTCACCGAATCCTCCCCATTCTGTGTTGATGCACATTTTGCCTTCATCTCCTTCTATTATTTCTATATGTTTCATTTCTTCCATATAGCACACATTACTGCCTGTCCCTGAAAACAAGAAAGAAAGAAAGCGAGACTTTAAAATAGCAAAAAGGGTTTTCTCCAAGGACAGTTAAATGTAGGAGATAGAAAAACCATAGCTGCGGAACACAAAATAGTAGCAGTTCTAATGGTTACTATAGAAAGAGCCAGGCTACAGAACTGGGCTGAAAAAATCCAGACAACCTCAAGATGGCAGCAGCAAGACCAGAAAATTCTAATACAGTATTTCTCAACATTGTTTACTCCAAGACAGCGGTCACCAACTGGTGGTCCCTGGACCACCGGTGGTCTGCAAGAAAATTGTGGTGGTCCACAGAAAAATCATTTGCATTTTTTATATTGTGCTAAATCAGGGGTCATGGGACGGTCCCTGGGATGGATACGTGCACTGAATGTTTTTTTTTAAAATAATTTTATTTTTTATTACATAGACAACATCACATAACAATAGGAAAAAAACAATGGGAAAAGGAGAGAAAAAAAAAGGAAAGACAAAAAAAAGACAAAAAAAACCCCCATCATCACATACAATATGTCATTTGATCACAGGTGCATCCCTACTACGTTTATACATCCCGTATCTCTCTTTTGTATATTTAATAAACACCACAATAACCTAGGGTTTAAAAAAAGAAAAAAAAAGGGGGGGGAGACAAAAAAGAAAAAAAAGAAAAAAAAACCATCATCACATGCAGCATGTCGTTTGGTTACAATTGTTTTAACCTCTGCATCTTCAAATAATATTTACTGTCTCAAATATTTCATCTAATATAACTAAAGGCCTTATTTTCATTCTACAATATATATTTAGTTAACATTAGCATTATTTTCCTTTTTTTTCTTTTTTGTCCCCCCCCCCTTTTTTTAAACCCTAGCTTATTGTGGTGTTTATTAAATATACAACAGAGAGATACGGGATGTATAAACGTAGTAGGGATGCACCTGTGATCAAATGACATATTGTATGTGATGATGGGGGTTTTTTTTGTCTTTTTTGTCTTTCTCCTCCCCCTTTTTTTTCTTTTTTTTTCTTTTTTAAACCCTAGGTTGTTGTGGTGTTTATTAAATATACAACAGAGAGATACGGGATGTATAAACGTAGTAGGGATGCACCTG